TACTCTTCACAAGGGGGTGGGGGGGGTGGGAATAATTAATAAATCAAACCAAAAGCCTAGCCATATATATGCGAAACTGTAACCCTGATTGTTCCAGTGTATTTTCATATCAACTCTTAATAGAGGTCAGAGTAGTAAAAGTAGTAAAAAGACCACACTCATCATTAAGTGCACCCTGTTCCCTGTTGTGAGAAGAGTAGAGCGAGGGGGAATTTTATAAGAGCTTTCAACTATCTAAAGGGTGGTTACAAAGAGGATGCAGCTGGATTGTTCTCAGTGCTGGCAGATGACAGAACAAGGAGCAATGATCTCAAGTTGCAGCAAGTGAAGTTTAGGTTAAGTATTAGGAAAAGCTTTTTCACTAGTAGGGTAGCAAAGCACTGGAACAGGTTACCCAGAGAGGTGGTGGAATCTCTGTGTTTGGAGGTTTTTAAGACCCAACTAGACAAAGCTTTGGCTGGGATGCTCTAGTTGGGCATGGTCCTGCTTTGAGCAGGGGGTTGGACTAGATGACCTCCTGAAGTCCCTTTCAGCCCTCATTTTCTATGATTCTATGATTCAGACCAAACAAATATAATGTCTTGTAGTTATAAAATTGGGATGTACAATAAGATTGAACCCTGTAACTATTGTGTGGCGTGCTAGATTTGCTTCTGTGCCAGATGTTTAGGATAGTACAGCAGTAGTTGCTACTGCTGGTCTCTTCTTATCTATTTTTGCTGATGCTACTTTTCCCCTTTTTGAGCAACAGGGTAATTAGCACTGGCTATACCATACATGCAGACCCACTGGTTGACTTATCATTCACTTTGGATGCATTCTGCATTTAATTTCTTGGAGAAGGAGAAATTCCCAGAAAATCCCATCTTTGGCCCATTATCAGTAAATTACTGGTATTTGCACTGTGGTAATACATAGGCCAAGACCCCCATGGGGATAGATAGTGTACAAACACAGAACAAGCAGACAGTCCCTACCCTACTGAGGTCACATGCTAATTAACTGTGGTCTGATCTGATCCCAGTTTAAACCTTCCTTTCATTTTAGGAATCCCTAAAGTAAGATTTCCTGTTGATTAGTGAGTATGGTCGAGGCTATGAGGAGCAGCTAGTGGTTTGTGTTGCCTTAGGTCTGAGCTATCTGACTTGAGATACCAGGGTTTATCTTTAAGAAAATGCTGAGCTGTTATAAATTGGGACCTAACAGGGTGCGTCTATGTGTGCAATTAATTTGATGCACTAAACTCTGGAGCCGTTTGAGCTCGAGTACTGTTCCCAGGTGCAGCGTCTACATATGTGCCTGGGACAGCAGTGATTTGAGCCAGGTTAGAGGAGCCCTCTGCTGGCAGGGGGTATGGGGGAGGGTGTCATCCCTGGGCTCTAGGTGGTAGCATCAAGTGGCAGAGAGGCTGGCCCCCCGCTGGTTGGGCTGACCGGGTGCAATTTGTGCCCAGTGGTCACCATCTACATATGCATTTGATCACACTTAATTACTCTGCAGTAAGATAGTATTATCCCTGATAGTACTCTCTTACAATGGAGTTAGTTTACTGCACCCTAATACTGGTGCACATGTAGACTGATGCTTTACTGTGGAGCTAGTTGGTCTACTCTGCAGTAAAGTGTACGTATAGATGACCTCACAGTTGCTTAAGATGAGCATCAAAAACATGAGTCAGTCATCCACTATACTGGATAATAAATCACAAAGCAGCATGGTCTAGGGCAGTGTTTCCCAAACTTTTCCATCCCATGGCACACCAGCTGGATTCAGTGTTGGGGGGGAAGCATGCGGCTGGATGCGGAGAATGGGGTGGGGAAGGGGGTGGCG